ACAGGGGCACAATCACCTCCCTACTTCTGCTGGTCACACTATTTTTGATACAAGCCAGGATGCCATTGGCTTTCTTGCCCCCCTGGGCACACGCCGGCTCATATTCAGCCCTTTGTCAACTAGAACCCCCAGGTCTCTTTCCTCCAGGCAGCTCCAGCCACACTTCCCCCAGCCTGTAGCGCTGCAGGGGGTTGGTGTGGCCCAAGTGCAGGACCTTGCCCTTGCCACTTGCCTCATGCACCACTTGTGGATGTTTCTGGTTCTTTCTCAATCGTTGCTTACATCTTTGCTGACCTGCTGGCTTTATCTTTTCCCTAGTGTTCTTCTGGTCTCCTCCCCTACCATGCCACAGCTGGGGACCTTGCTTTCCACAGCCCAGAGTTCACAGGCACAGCCGGGGCCTCAGCCACCTCCTCCCCCCCGGGTGGTAAGTCATACCACCTCCTCCGGCCTGCCCCAGGTCCGGGTGGTCACTGCCCAGTCCAGCCTCCCAGCGGTGTCCCAGCAAGCCCCAGTGGTCACCCAGCAACAGCAACCCACCTCAGTGCCTCAAATCCGCGTTCCAGCTACAGCCACCCAAACCAAAGTGCTCCCTCAGGTGAGTTGGGCTGCGTGGAAATCAGAATCATGGAATGGGTTGGAAGGGACCTTCATGATCATCTCGTTCCAACTCCCTGCCCTGGGCAGGGACACCTCCCACCACACCAGGTTGCTCCAAGCCCCCTCCAACCTGCCCTTGAACCCCTCCAGGGATGGGGCAGCCACAGCTTCTATTCCAGGCTCTCCCCACCCTCACACCATAGAGGTTCTTCCCCACCTCTCAGCTCCATCTCCCCTCTTTCAGTGTCCAACCCTTCCCCCTCCTCCTAGGGCTCCCCTCCCTGATCCAGAGTCCCTCCTCATCTCTCCTGGAGCCCCTTGAGGGACTGGAAGGTCTCCCTGGAGCCTTCTCTTCTCCAGGCTGAACCCCCCCAACTCCCTGTCCGTGTGGGAATGGTCGGAGTGGAACTGGACCTCTATTCTGTTGGTGGTGCTGGCCACCACAAACTGGGAACGCTCCCCACAGTACCTGCGGGGAGAGAGGGCAAAGGTGATGGGTCCAAGGTGAAGGTTGGGACTTGGCAAATGGTTTTCCACCCAGAGAGCAGGTCTGATTCCTGCTGGGTTTCGAGATCTGCAACACAGGAGATGAAATTTCCTCCCATTGGCGCCTTCTCAGAATCATGGAAAGGTTTGGGTTGGAAGGGACCTTCAAGATCATCCAGTTCCAACTCCCTGCCCTGGGCAGGGACACCTCCCACTAGACCAGGTTGCTCCAAGCCCCCTCCAACCTGCCCTTGAACCCCTCCAGGGATGGGGCAGCCACAGCTTCTATTCCAGGCTCTCCCCACCCTCACAGCAAAGAAGTTCTTCCCCACATCTCCATCTCCATCTCCATCTCCCCTCTTTCAGAGTCAAACCCCTGTCCAGCCTGGAAGGGTGGAGTAGTTCTGATTTCTAACCTTAATTCTAACATTTCGATGTGGTGCACAGGGTGGTGCTCACTTGGAACTTGCCATAACTGCAGAGCAAGAGCATAGAAACAGTTGTGCATAAATAATACTCCACAGTGCTCCTTTTTTCCTATTTATGTGGCCCCATTAAATTGTGTATTACAGTAAAAAGTCCATAGGACTTGCAAGTTCTAAGGCATAAGACAAAAAGAGTAAATGATTAACCTGTTAGTATTGTATTAGTCTGCTCACAGGTTGTCTCTGTCTCTTCAGGCTGTGATGACTCTGCCAGTAAAAGCTCAAACCAGCCCAGTGCAGGTGCAAAGACCAGGAAGCTCCGTGACAGGACAGACAGGCATCACTGTGACAGGACTCTCTGCAGCCCCCAGTCCTGCTGTGAAGCCAGTGACCAGCTCTCCTGGCAGTTCTGCCACCAGCACCTCCTCTACCACCGTCATCCAGAACGTTGCTGGCCAGAACATCATCAAGCAGGTGAGAGATGGGGATAGACAAGGAACTGGGCTCCACCATCCAGTTGTTTCCTGTTTGTTGTGATAGGCTTGATGTACAGAGGTGAAAAGATAGTGAAAACTGTAGTGAAAAGTAAAAGATGTGTTAGTGCAGGTTCTTTATAATTAACTCTCTTCAGATGTTGACCTTGTTTTCATTCATCTTGTTTGGAAAACAAAGCAGCTCTGCAGTGTTTTGTATTTTATATGGTTTTGGGAATGTCATCTGATGTGCAACCAAACTAACTTCGGGGTTGGAAGGCTCTACAGAGGGATCTGGACAGACTGGATCAATGGGCCAAGGACAATGGGATGAGGTTTAATAAGGCCAAGTGCCGGGTCCTGCATTTTGGTCACAACAACCCCAGGCAACGCTACAGACTTGGGGCAGAGTGGCTGGAGCTGCCCAGAAGAAAAGGACCTGGGGGTGTTGGTAGACAGCAGGCTTAACATGAGCCAGCAGTGTGCCCAGGTGGCCAAGAGGGCCAATGGCATCCTGGCTCGTATCAAGAACAGTGTGGCCAGCAGGAGTAGGGAAGTCATCGTGCCTCTGGACTGGGCACTGGTGAGGCCTCACCTCGAGGGCTGTGTTCAGTTTTGGGCCCCTCACTACAGGAAAGACATTGAAGTGCTGGAGCGTGTCCAGAGGAGAGCCACCAAGCTGGGGAGGGGTCTGGAGAACAAGTCCTATGAGGAGAGGCTGAGGGAACTGGGCATGTTTAGTTTGGAGAAGAGGAGGCTGAGGGGAGACCTCATTGCCCTCTACAACTCCCTGAAAGGAGGGTGTAGAGAGGCAGGTGTTGGCCTCTTCTCCCAAAGGACGAACGACAAGACCAGAGGAAATGGTCTGAAGTTGGGGCAGGGGAGATTTAGATTAGATATTAGAAAGAATGACTTTACTGAGAGAGTGGTCAGGCCCTGGAACAGCCTGCCCAGGGAGGTGGTGGAGTCACCATCCCTGGAGGTATTTAAGAAACGTATAGACATGGCTCTTCAGGGCATGCTCTAGTGCCCAAGGTTATTGGTTTATGGTGAGGTGTTGAGTGTGGGGTTTAGTTGGTGGGTGCGGTGTTTTTGGTGGGCGTTTGGTGTGGGGTTTTTTTTGTTTGTTTTGTTTTGTTGGTTTTTTTTTTTTGTGGTTGGACTCGATGATCTCAGAGGTCCCTTCCAACCACTAAGATTCTGTGATTCTGTAACTTCAGTAGTGCTCCGAGCGCATCGTGCCCCTTCAATTCAATTCAGACATCATCCTGTTGGGAAGTCTCACTTGGAACTGTGTCCTGCTTTCACTGAATTTCACTGAATTTTTTAGAGTTGGAAGGGACCATAGAGATCATCTAGTCCAACTCCCCTGCTGAAGCAGGATTGCCTAGAGCTAGAGCATGTTACTCAGGAGCATCCAGGTGGGTCTTGAAAATCTCCAAGGAAGGGGACTCCACACCCTCCCTGGGCAGCCTGTTCCAGGGCTCTGTCACCCTCACCGTGAAGAAGTTTCTCCTCATATTTGAGTGGAACCTCTTTGATAGAGCCGTTTCTCTCATCTCTTCCAGGTGGCTATTACGGGGCAACTTGGCATGAAGACCCAACCTGGAAGTGGCATCCCCCTCACGGCGACCAACTTTCGCATCCAAGGGAAGGACGTGCTGCGCCTGCCCCCATCCTCTATCACCACGGACGCCAAGGGCCAGACCGTGCTCCGGATCACCCCGGACATGATGGCCACCTTGGCCAAATCTCAAGTCACTACTGTCAAACTGACTCAGGACCTCTTCACGGCAGCTGCGGGGAGCAGTGGTGGTGGGAAAGGCATCTCTGCCACTTTGCACGTGACGTCCAACCCGGTCCAGCAGGCTGATTCTCCAGCCAAAACCAGCACGGCCACTTCAGCTTCTTCCAGCCCGGCTGGAGGCACGGTGGTTAAAGTGACTCCTGATTTAAAGACTGCAGAGCCAACGAGCTCCGCTTTCCGCTTGATGCCCGCCTTGGGCATGACCGTGGCAGATCAGAAGAGCAAAGCCATAACCACGGTGGCCTCCACCGAGGCCAAACCGGCCGCTACGATACGAATCGTGCAAGGGCTGGGGGTGATGCCACCCAAAGCCGGGCAGACTATTACGGTAGCCACTCACTCTAAGCAAGCCTCCTCTTCCTCAGCCGTGAGCACGGTCCACACCTCAACTGTCTCCTTACCAACAGTGAGTGCCACGGTGTCCAAAGCGGTTGCCGTGGCCTCAGGAGCTGCTGGGACTCCCATAACGATAGGCACGGGAGCCACCGCTGTGCGGCAGGTCCCCGTCAGCACCACGGTGGTGTCCACCTCCCAGGCAGTAAGTAACGCTCAAATTTTTTCGGGTTTTGGGTGAAAAAGGGGAACGCTGAAAATGTATCATGGCTGGGGAACTCTTGACGTCCCCCGAGGCTCAAATTAATCACTGTGGGTGAAAAAGGGGAACGCTGAAAATGTATTATGTATTATGCATCTAAACGGCCCTTAAACACATCACAGAATCCCAGAATCTTCTAGGTTGGAAGGGACCTTCAAGATCATCTTGTCCAACCGTCAACCTCACTGACAAAAATAGACACCCACACAACAAACAAGGAGCATCATCACTAAACCAGACCTCCCAGCACTACATCAACCCGGCTTTTGAACACCTCCAGGGATGGGGCCTCCACCACCTCCCTGGGCAGCCCATTCCAAGGGCTGAGAACCCTTTCAGTGAAAAATTTTTTCCTAATATCCAGCCTGAACCTCCCCTGGGGCAACTTGAGGCCATTTCCTCTTGTCCTGTCGCCTGTGACTTGAGAAAAGAGACCGACCCCCATCTCTCTACACCCTCCTTTCAGGGAGTTGGAGAGAGCAAGAAGGTCTCCCCTCAGCCTCCTCTTCTCCAGGCTGAATAACCCCAGCTCCCTCAGCCTCTCCTCATAAGACTTATTCTCCAGACCCCTCACCATCTTTGTCCAGGGACGGTGACTCCACCCCCCTCCCTGGGCAGCCTGTTCCAATGCCCGACCACTCTTTCAGTGAAAAATTCCTTCCTAATGTTCAATCTAAACCTCCCCTGTGGGTCTGCGACTAATTGGATGGACTTGGTAGCTAAAAGCTGAATGACAAGTCAGATACGTCTTCCCTTATTTCCTCTTGTGAGTAAATGAAATAAACTTTGCTTATCTCAAGTCCTACCTCGTGCAGCTCAGCGTCTCACCCCCCCACACCTCTGAAATCATTTTCCTTGGAAAGGTGTTCAAAAGACGGGTTGATGTAGTGCTGGGAGGGATGGTTTAGTGATGATGCTCCTTGTTTGTTGTGTGGGTGTCTATTTTTGTCAGTGAGGTTGACGGTTGGACAAGATGATCTTGAAGGTCCCTTCCAACCTAGAAGATTCTGGGATTCTGTGTCAGAAATAGAAGTGCTTCTTACTCCTATTAACTTTTTTACCTAATTCCCCGTTTATTACACGTGTCCCAATTAATTAATACAATGTCCAAAGCTGAAGGCACCGTAAGCTGTATCATGAAGGCACCATAAACTGTATCAGAAAAGCTGAAGGAGCTAATTGACAATTACCAGACCTTCCTAAGGATATAAATCATGGATGGATGCAGTGAGCCTTCCCAGAGAAATACTGTGGTGCCAAGATGATGCAGGTTTTCAGGAAGGGAATGAGATGGAGGTGAATTTTAACGAGCCTGAAACGGAGGACAGATTTCATCAGCAAAGCTGCTGGTGGTTTCTACTCCCAGGACTCCTGAAAACCAAGCTGAGTTGGTAATTGCATTATTTCAAGCAGTTTCTCCCCTGAACTCCCCACGGATCCTCACATGTTCTTCAACTTCTCTAGGGCAAGCTGCCAGCACGGATCACGGTGCCCCTGTCGGTGATC